GGGGGGGGGGGGGGAGTGCAAAAGGTAAGAAAAAAAGGTGTGTACCCAGGGCAGATTCACACTACCGGTAGGCACTTGAAATCCTAGAATCGTACCCAAGAGCCTGGGCCTCGCTGCACTACTCTTGAAATGCACAAAAGACAAAAATCATGCTGCTGTATCTTTTCATGTTCTAACGGAAGATTCACTCTCGTTTTGCACCTTTCAAGAGTAGTGCAGCGAGGCCCCCTAGCTCAGTGGGTACAACCCTGAACTGTTGAAATACAGACCTGTGTTCGAATCCAGATGATGGAACTTGATGAATAAAACCAACTACTAATAAATTGCCTGGGGCCGGTCAGCTCAATGATAATATCTCAAGGCCGTTGCCCTTTTTTTTTAAAATATAAAAAATAATCATCCTAGAAAGGCTAGAATCGCAAAATCAGCCGCCAGATCCAGTCCTCCTCAAAGAAGAACTCGATGTGGGTGCTCATTTTGCTTCTCTGGGATTTTTTTTTGAGGGTCTAGTGTGTGTATACCTCTCAGACTAGGAAATTTTCGGACGTATCTGACTTCTTTTACGATGAGGTTCAGTCCCAGAAAAAAAGTCTGTTGTGTAAGGATGCTACAACCAAAGCAAAATGCGCGGAGTAGTATCAACAGGTCTAGCTCAGTTGGTACACACCCAAGTTCGAACCCACAGTTAAAATCAGACGGGCCTAGCTCAGTAGAATCAACGGGCCTAGCTCAGTTGGTACACCCAAGTCCAAGAAAAAACATTTTTTGAAATATGACCCAAGTTCGAACCCATAGTTAAAATCAGAGGACGAAAATAATATCAATCATTTTGAAATGAATAGCCTTAGGGCCGGACAGTGCAAGTATGATATCTCAAGGCCGTTGCCCTTCATTTTTAAAAAGGAAAAACAAACAAAAAAAGGCGAGGAAAGAGAGAAAAGAGAGGAAAGGAAGAAGAGAAGGAGAAGAGAAAAAAAGAGCGGAGGAGTGCAAGCCGAAGATGGTGAAATGAAATGGGAAAGAGGATGAGAGAAAAGTTGACGTCAAAGGAAAATGACGAGTGAAGGCAAGGAGAATTTGTGAGAAGAGGGGCGGAGGAGAAGGCATGTGGTGTTTAATTTGAAGGCGCAGGGGATTGAAGGAGAGAGAGAGGGGGAGGGGGG